TTATATTTCTTTATTATATTATAGAAGATTCAAATAGACACGCATTAATAAAATTGTAGTTGAATTATGTAGTTTTTATGTTTACACATAAAATTTTCTCTGAAAATGAACATTTACATTCTTTTTACAGGGATATTAATCATTATTGATTTATTACTGTCTCGCAAGTTGACATTTTGTTCCTTGTTTAAAAAACTTTACAAAAGTACGTTGTGATTATATTTCTTTGTGCGCAAAGCTATATTTCAAAGGATTCAAATAGACGCATTAAAATTGTCATAAATTGGATAGTTTTTGCTTGGATATAATAATCTTATCTGAAATGTTCGAACACATTTTAGATCCCTTTCGCGAATATTAATCACTGTTGATTCATTATTCTCGCAAATGTTGGCGACACACAAGTAATGACATATTTCAAACAGAGCGACGTGCGTCTTGAACGTTCTACCGGACGTTTACCGTCATATATTATTCGCGATGAAAGCCGAAATCTAGCATAACGCTATTCGCGCACGTAACTTACAAGATAAGTTAAATACTGTTGGGAAACGTGAGGTGTGGGATGAGGGACGTGCACATGATTTTCCGATCAAATCCCTCGGTCGGCAGTTCATGATCGGTTGCTCGCACGCTTCGAGAATGCGGATCGCGTTTTCGCCTTTTACCTTTACTAGCGATGACGCATGCGCGCGCGCCCGGTAGTCTCAAAGGCATCAAAGCGTGCGCCGCTGCCTATACCACCTCGCGGACCGCGGACGGTCAGTAACGCGCCGAGCGTCGTTGTGGGAGGGTGGTGTGTTATTTTTCACTGATTGCGCTTACCTAAGCGCTAAATCGGAGCACTCGCGTGGTACCTCGCTTGTGCAGCGCGCGTTTCAATTTAATACCGTCTACTCGACTTGACCTATCGGTGAACGAGCCCGGAATTATTATACACGTACTAAAAGTGCTAATTGCAAAAGAGAACGCGTCGTCATGGGTACCGTGTGTTGTGCTCCGCGAGTGTAGAGTGCGGATTGCGCGCAACGGTCAAGGAAGATACAGAAAGGGGTATAGGCAAGCGACAGAGGAAAGACTGAGGATACAGGACAGGAGTGGTGTGGGCTAGACCGCGAGGCGAAGTCTCATTGTGGAGGAACTCGAGGGAGAAACGAAGCCGAAGGGACGGGAAAGATAAAGGCGCACGGAGAGACGATAATGCGGAGCAGTTGCTTCCGTCTTCAGCGACAGGACGACGTTGGGATCCGCTCCTAGTAAGTGATAATAAACCACCAGGGATGTTCGCGGAGATAACAATTGCGTCGGATTTGTGGGGATATGTCGTATATATAGGGGTCGCCCGCCTTCGAAACTTCGACTCGAATTCTATTCGCATTTTTGCGATGCGCAAATCGTTTTCGCATTAATATTCTGTAATAAATTGATCAATATGAGAGGGAGACAGTAATTTATTTCTTACATGGAAAAAAAACGATGATTTTTTGCTGAAGTATTTCAAAATTTAATTATTGTCTAAATTGTAAGAGCAAAATCTCATTTTAAAAAATGAAAATTGAGCCACCTCTAGAAAAAAAGCTTAATTTTCAATCTTTAAGAAAAAGGTTTCACTATTCAGAGACAATTATTCTAATAATTTTAAAGAGTATATGTAAATACTTATTTAAAAATATTTTATGTTACCAGTTACATCATAAAAATAAGTGTATAGGGTACTTAAAGGACGACGACGTTAGAAAAAGTTTCCACATTCTGGTAATCTGTTTAAACGACTCATAATTATTTTGATGATCTAACAAAATTATCTTTTAATTTGCATCTAACTAAATTTTCTAGATATACATCAATAAAATCTCTTTTTTCCGTGTGTACGCAAAATTTGTTCATTAATTGCAAGAATATTATCTGATAATTTAATGACACTCGTCTTTTATCTTCCTTATCGTATCATTCCTAACATCTGCTAGATTCATACAGAATGGATGGTGATAATATTCTCTTAAAAGTTTAATCTTTTCATATATACTCGCGTATTCTTTTTAATTCAACGGATAATAAGTGAAATGGAAGTAATGAATAAGAAAGTACAAGGCACATTTATCACCTCGTAAAAAAGTAATTCCGCTTTCATTGTATAAAAATTTTTCTTTCAAGCAAATTTTTTTCATATATTCTTACAAATTAAATGAAAAATTATGTCAACGACAGTGCTATATTATGTATGTTTTATATTATGTATGGTTAAATATGATATATTTACTGTATGAACTCAAAACTGACAAGTTTTGACTATAAAAATTAAAAGTATCACATATAAACGTTTACACAGATACTGATATCGTATCGACGAGTCACATCGCTGAGTTTTATATTTACAAATAGCAATAAACAATGTTTATCATAATAATATAGGCAATACAGCCCACAGCTGTATCGAGTTTTAAAGCGAAAATTTAAAATCCTTTTGTTCTTAACGACAATAGGATATTACGAATACAAAAAGAGAATTATTAACGAATAAAAATATTAAATAAAATGTATTAACTGATACTATCGAATTCGATTACGTAATGCTGCGATATATTTCACAGGCATATCTCACACGCATACGTTATTAAGAACGGCGATGACATAATATCTCAAAATGTGGGAGTCACTCGAAAGTAATCAGTCATTCACGCATTCTTTTCGCATTTTTCTCATATCATAGCTATATAAATCATCACGAAAGAGGAACGCCAAATTTATTCTCCACGTAATTAATAAACTTCCCTAAAGAACACATGAATCCATGATATCCGACCTCTTTGTATAAAGTTCATACTCTGTTATCCAAAGTTAAACGAGATGGATCTTAATTCTATGAACGCCGCTTCACGTACATGGATTACTTTGCATCTTAAATGTAAAGTTGCAAGTTGCAACTCTTCGTGATATTGAATAATTACAGTTCTTAATTATAATTGCAACTCTTCGTGATATTGAATAATTATAACTGCGTTCGTATTGCTTAAGGCTATGGCATACAAAAAACTTAAGCAGCAACGTAAGCAATAAGCACATTTTGGATATATTACTGCGTTATTGTTTTATGTATTCTCTGCTGTGATTGATCGATTAATTTACTGATTAATTTATTGATTTTAAGCGATCTAGTTCATCCAGTACTATCGCGATCGTAATTCTCATGTTTAATCGGGCGCCGTTTCGTCTGCGTCAATTAAAGCAATTGTCAAGCGGTTGAGCGCCTCGTTATCCCCGATTTTCACGTAAGAACGACCGCGCGCCGGTTCCGTTGCTTTAAAGAGTTAAAAATAAGGCGTAGTCGCGCGCTTGAAGCGATCGACCGTAACTTAAACGGCATGTATTATACGTATATGTATACTTATATATGTATATATCCACGAAAGGAAATTCTCTCGGAGTATACGGACGTGACTTCTCAAATGTTGATCTCTTGAATCTCAACAGTGACTCATGTTATCGGAAATATATGGCAGGTGTCATTTATAACATTTCATTCGTGCGAAAATCGGAAATGACACTTGCGAATTAGTTGAGCGGAAACAACAGCCGGGACAAACTGTTTATTGTTGTGTATTAAATTATTTATCGTCCGATAAATTAAACGTAATTGTCAAGATATAGAGTAACATGTGGTTCCTACCTGTCACGTATTGTTTAACGCCTTTTCCATTAGTGGACTTTTTTTTATTCACCCGTTTACGTGTCAATAAAATTGTTTTATTCGCGTCGCGAATGAAGCTCTGTTAGTTAATTGTGTTGCTATGAATATGTAATACAAGATTTGTTTGCGAATTACAATGTAGGAGCGATTCGTATCAAAGATCATGAATACGTTAAAATACAGCTGTATATATCATGATACAAGATAAAAAAACATATATTAAGTATGAGTTAAATCTAGCTTACATATTGAAATATTAGTATCAGGAAGACGCTATTAATTTAATCATCTACTTGTTATATCATAATAATTCTTCTAGATCGGTATTTATAGTTTGATTTCATTTCGAGACCATCTTAAGTAACGATCTTAAAACGGTCCTAATACGGCTTTGTGATTGGTTCGGAGATTGCTTTATGACATTTCAAGACAGTACCTAAGACGGTCTTAGATGTAAGAACTGAAAATCTTGGATATAAGAACTGATTACGAATATCGATCTTAATTATTTTTGAACAAAATTTATTGTACTAGATATATCATGCGTGAATAAAGAAGAAAGAAAATAAAACAACTTTTTTTATTCTATATAAAATAGAAATTTAGTGTCCACCTACAATAACAAAAAAATGAGATATTATCTTTCGATGCCATCCCAAATGACGTTTTAATAGCATCCTATTGACGTAAAAGATGTTATTAAGACATATTTTGACGTCACTTTGCTATCTACTTGCAGGACAATATGAGAATGACATACTTGGATATGGTATAGGTATTAAACACAATTCAATTGCCTATAACTTTCACAAAAATGAACATATTGTGAAATATTTTTTCAATCGAAACGATAGACATTAAGGAACACAATAATGCCAAGCAAATTTATATATCTTTCTAATTAAAAAAGTTATAAGCAATGGAAGAAGCATTGGAGAAGTATTGGAAAAAGAAAGAAATGTCTATACCGTATCTAAATATAAATATACTGATCGTAAATTGTATTACGATACTATCGATTTTCACTTAACCGCAAACTTTTGTAATAATTTGATTAAACGTCAGAAATTCTATTTTTGGATATATTAGTATTAATAAGAAAGATGTATATTTTATTAATATTTAAAAAAGATGTTACAATATCTTTAATTAAAATTGCATAGAAAATTTAGTGTATATAATTTTGTTAATATAAATAAAAGTATAACGATGAAAAGAGGTACCTTAAATTACACTTTACGATATGGTTTAAACAATATTTAATATGCACAAGCATATTAATTTCTTTCTCTTGTCGTTAATTGCCAAATTCCAAAATTTGCGCAGTATAGCAACGTGACATATTTATATAAAAGCAGGCTCGTTAATTATGCTTTGGCGTTAATTACATTTATAATTTTTGAGTACGGCTCATTTGTACTACTCCATGTTACAAAAACAAATCTACTTTCAAAATGCCGTTCATTGAAATGCATGAAGTATTGCAACGGTGAATTTGCGCGAATCGATTCCGTAAACTCACACAACAAGCACTGTTGACTGGCCGCTCTTGAAGTGCAAAATGAAATCAATTTGATTTTCCTTCATTAAATAGAGATTCGATTTACTGGATAAATTAACAAGGATTTAATACAATGTTTCGTAAGTAAGAATTTTCCATTGAAATTGTAGCACGATTTCAATATAAATGCTGTCCTGGTGAGGAAACTGTTTTTATCGAGGAATAATAATATAAATAATTCGTATGATTCCGCATTCTTTAATTTATTTCTAATTGAATGAATTTTCTTCTTTACCGAAATATAATTTTGACAAATAGGATGTGCAAAGTAATGTGAAATAGAATAACAGGAGATCGTTAAGGGGTAACGCCACTCTAGAATTTTCAAAATAATCAAAAAATTTTTTTTTGTTTAAATGATGCCTTAGAGTCTTAAAAATAATGTACGCTTGGTCTCGTAGTGCGATAAAATTTTTAAGTACTTATTTCGAAACCGAAAGTGCCTTCGCTCGATTAATAAGAAAAGATTTGTGGTACTCGTGGCAGAAGGCAAAAGAGGCCAGGGTATTGTTAAAATCGGTCAGAAAAGACGCAGAGTAGGAGAATTTGGAAGGTGAAATGTATGGTGCAGGCATTGCCGACTAGAGGTATATAAAAAAAATTTATACTATTTTAGTACTTAAAACTTTAAACGCGTTTTTCTCGAAACAATGTTTTTCAAGTTGGCCGGAAACATAACTCGTACAATTTTTGAACGATTCAATTCAAATTTTAACAGTAGCTTTGTAATTAGATTTTACACAGAAGTACGTAGGAGTTTTTTGATATCTTGTCAACTTTTTTTGTTATAAACAATTTACGATGAAATTTTTTACTGAAAAATGAATTTTTTCTTCAAATAAGCATTATTTTTTCAAAATTCAATATTTTCAAAATCCCCTACGTACTTCTGTAGCCAATTATACATAGTTTACAAAAAATTTTGGTTTTTTGTTCCGGATTGAAAATTGTGGGAGAAACTTTTCCGGCCGTGAAGCCCATTCAGCGAGAGGTGGTCTCGAGTTTCG